GGAAACACCTTGATTTCAAGGTTATAATAATTTGGTTGGGTGGGGAGATTTTTATTTTTTTTTTTTTCATTTCAAGGGAAGTTTCCACCTTCCTTAACAGACACCTGTCTTTTGAAACCAAAACAGTGAAAAAGGACTGTTTAGAGCTACTTCTGATCACTCTGGACAGCAAAAGCAGAAGAATAAAAAGGAAACTAAAAAGGCAACCAGTATGGAATTCTTGGATTTGTGCTTTACTGGCAGTGTAGACTTTTTACTCTATGTACAAAAGATTGTCAAAAGGAAGGAAATTCCAGTAGACACATCAGTGCAGGTGTATTTTCAATAAAGTAACAGTTAAAATTGTTTTATTCTATGTTACATTGCCTAGGAGATGGGATTTTAGATAAGGGAAGTCCTTACCTAGAACTAGAGCTATTTAGAAACAGGTTTTGGAGAAACAATTGCTTGTAAGGAGAGATAACTTAGGTCGAGATTTGCAATAAATACCTAAGAAAAAGCAGAAATAGAGTTTAACAAAATATTGAAGTTTGGTTAGTCTGTGATATCGTAGACCTGCTGAAGTTGAGGGAACCTTGACAGCATCTACCCCTTGAGGATAAGCAAATCTGAATTTGAATTCAAGACATTAAAAAAACAAGTAAAATTGAGACAAATGAGAAGCTTGTATTTGAAACAGCAACAGTTAGGAATCTTAAAAGGAGATTTATTATTAAAAATCTTAAAAGGAGATTATTATTAAATAATAATTTAAGGCATCTTTTAAAAGTATAAAGCAAATTAATCTTTTGGTAGAAAAACATGTTTTTGGAGATGAATAAAAATAGGAAAAAGAGGGGGAAACAATAAGAGAAACATCTCAAAAGGAAAATAAAAATGTTTTAAAAAGTGTTAATAGAAGCATGGTGTAGGGTATTATGGGTTTGTCAACAGGAGACTTAATATGACAGATACAGCCCTGGTCATGCCACACACAACAGTGCCTTCTTCCAGAAGGGGAAGGCTTTAATGCTGACTATAAACTGCCCTGGCATGTATGGAAATTTCTATAAGAAGAAATAACCTTTTTAAAAAAAAGAAGTTGGGTTTCTTGGTTGTTTTGTTTTTTGTTTGGGGTTTTTTGCAGGTTTGTTTGTTTGTTTTTTGTTTGGTTGGATTTTTTGTTGTTTTTATTTCGTAAATTTTTATTCCTTTTATGTGTCTAGAACTGGAAATACAACCTATCATTAAACCTGTTTGTGGATAATAAAAGTGAGAGTGGGGGTAAATTTTTTAACTGCTCAAACCATTTGCTTTTCAAGTAAAAATGTTTATCAAAACAACTGACCCTTTTTGTCTAGAATTCACTCATTACCATTGTTTTAAATATCTTTCTTACTGCAATGATTTTCTTTAAATCCTGACTTCTGTTTCAATCCTGACTGAACATCAAGATAACCTGATATACTTGTTCTCTGCTTGTACTCATCATTCTTTTGCGTATCTTAGCTCCAGATCATGAGAGCAATCTTATTTACAGAAAGTACATAGACATTTGATTTCACAGCCAATGTTGTATGTCAATATTAAGACAAGACACTTAAATTCAGTTCTCAGCTATTCAGATTGTAATTCCAATGCCCTAGTTTTAAGTTCTATGCATATTCTTAAAGTAATTTTCTCGATATTTATTTATGAACAAATTTTTGATGTTTATGTAATCTGAAACGGGAGAAATGCAAATTAGTCAGTCAGGAATGGTAGTCAGTTTTGCTTTCAATTATTCAATCATATTAATTTTTTTGGTAGAGGTTTTATTCTAACATGCCTGTTAGCTGTAGCTTGGGAAGCACATACACATGACAGAGTCTTACAGCTACACTCTAGTCCCACTATTGTTTGTCTGACCTACATTAGTAATAGTACAAGCAGATAATACTTAAGAGTTGCATGTGTAATAAATGAAATTATATATATATATATTATGAAATTATAAATATATTATATATAGCTGTATCTATGGACCTCTAATTATAGAACAAGCAGAAATGAAAAGAATGTATTTTTATTGTCAGTCAGATGGAGAGTCTCCTGAGGAAATTAATCAAAATCCTATTTCAAATTCCCTAATCAACCACAAGACATTTTTCACTCCTTCTCAATCCTCAGGTTTGTGTCTTTATTTGCTCTGGGGAGTGGTGAAGGAGAGAAGTCAGAGAAAGGTAAGAAGGGACACTCTTCACTGAAGACAGTTCCGTGGGATTACCTGAGTAGAATGTAATATTCTGTGAATATAACCTGCAGAGGTGAAAACTGCTTAAGGAGTAATAAGCTCCTGGTGACATCATTGGTGTCACATAAAGCATTTCTAGAGAGGGACACCTTTAATAGTCAACCTTGATGCAAAAATATGTAGAGGAATTTTATCTGCCTTTTGTTGCTTATATCTTTATGTAACCTTGTAAACCTGTGGCTCCCAGATGTGCTGCATTTGCTTTTTTGTCATGAGATGCAAGTGATTTCAAATTAACTGGTCAATACTAGTGCATTAATGCATGAAAAATAACCACATACCTCTTGGATTCTAAGGACTGCAGATCAAAGCTTCATGCTATAGGATAATCAGACCTGCAACTCTTCCTTAAGCTGCACCAGATAAAAAACTGCCAATTCAGAATATTCTTGTCTTAGGGACAGGCTCCCGTGGAAAAAAACCAAAACAAAACCACCAAATCCCAACAACCAAAAATACCCACAAAACCCAAGCGAGATAATCAGAGCTAACAAAACATTAAAAAAATTCACATCAGGTTTACAGTCTGGATAAGAGCTCAAACCTATCACAATGTAGTCTTTCATGCAAACCTTAAATTTTTGGGCTTGCTTTAGTTTGGGATATTTTAGATTTTTTTAGACAGTGGATTTTTTATAGCTGTGTATCTCCCCGAAAGAAGTAGCACCTGATCAGCAGATCTATTACACAGAATTTCAGTATCTGTAGGTTTCAATGCAGAAGACATGAGACAGACAGAAATGCACAGTCTTGTCATTTTTGAGCAGCAGCAACAAATACAGATGGTGGAATGGAAGCAGGTGGTTGCCACAGCAGAGTTCCTTGCCTGTAAAGGTTTTGTGTGTGTCATCTCTGCCTTGCACAGAAGCTTCAGAGTTGCTGATTTAGTGCTATAGGACATGTGGGTTTCCAAATGGGAACAGAGGTGAGGGGGTCAACCTGGGGTACTGAGGTACTCAGTGAAACCCACTGTACCTGCCACCCATGGTTAATCCCATGTCCTGGGACACTTTTCCTGCATAGATCTGGCATCCACAAGGTGTCTTCAGGAGTTCCCACCATCCCAACCTCTGCAGTGAAACTGCAGCAGTCCAGCCCTGACAGCAATGTAGAAAACTGTATCTAAACAGCAGCATTTAGACAACTAAATGACCACTCTTTTAAATACCCTCTGTTATCCTGGGGACTGATTCTTTTTACAGACCAGCTCCACTGAAGACAATAGCATGGATTACATGATTGTAAAATCGGTATAAACGGGATCAGAAACAGATCCATTAGCTCTAATTAGGGAATGTGGTGTGATCTTATTTCACTGCACCGTATACAGCCTCTGTGGCTGTTATTTCAAGTGACAGACATTTGTTTTCCAGCACTTAATTTGCACATAGAATTAATGGTAATGCATCCAAGAACTGATATTGCTAATATGCAGCATTAGCATAGCTCTCTCTGTCCCAGGCTTCTGCTGATGAAAGGATTCCAAAAAGAGAGAAAAAGAGCTCAGACCTAGTGGAATAATGACGTTTTCTGTCTTCTGTAGTGAAGAATTTCAGCTCGATGAGTGTTGAAAATAGAGACTACTATTTGCTTTGCATTGTATCATGTGCTATCATATCAATCATTTTCAATGGATTGCAAATTTCTATCAGGGCATAACATTTGCTCCTCCTAGAAGCAGGAAAATTCTGCAGACAGATTTTTTGCCTGTCTTTAAACCCCTGACTAGCTGACTAACTCCCAAGGTTTATTAGCTGTTAGGCAGCTGTAGGCAAAAGTAAAAGAAACAAGTTCATCAAGGAACTATATCATGCTTCCAACATGTGGCAACACGAGTGCCTCTTCACCATCTGTTATTTGTGTGAGGATTTTATTATGTAAATGACGGTACACACTGCGCCCTAAACAAAGGAAGACGATTCCCCTTACAGCATGTTGCGACTGCCAGGCTTCTGTGTCAGCCTGAAACAAATAATGAAAGCAGCAGAGCCATGGCAGGCAGAATATCCTGGGTTCTTCTACTTCTCCTCCCAAAAGGGAGCAAATATCTTGATGAATAATTGGGTTTTTGCATGTATTGTGACTCAAAAACCGATAGTCGATGAATTAGTAAAACAGTAGACAGATGAAACTAAATTAAGGTGAGGTTTGCAGGTTTAAAAGAGATTGAAGAGACAATCCTGCAAAATTGTGGAGACTTCTAAGCACTCTGGTGTTGCTGAGAGCCAAAAATAGGAAACTGGGCTCCTAAATCATCTGCAGCAGACAAAAGGTGTTGTGGGATAAGGTTGGAAGTAAAATTCTGCCCTACATCCTGATTTAAAATTTTCCATTAAATTACCAATTTAAATTTAAATGTAATTATCTTAACTGGCATATTTTTGGCAACTGTAATCAGAAAAAGAAAAAAAGAAAAAAAAATCCCTATGCTACACAGGATCAAGTAAAAGCCCACAGGAGTTCTAGCACTGGCCCTTAATCAAAGTCTGCAAAGACACAAAAGCTTTGAGCTAATCTATGCCAAGCCATGTTGGACAGTGCGGCACTGCCAAGAGCATCCTTCTGGTGGCATTTAAAGCACCTGGTGCCCTAGGAAAAGAAATCATATCCAAAGCTGTATATTCTGTTTTCCTTACACCCATCTACCCACCAACAGGGGTTGCTATGATAGCAGCACAATATCCCATGGGAAAGAAAACACACCACTATTTTTATTACATTAATTTTTTTAATGTGTGGCATGCAGGTAGTTATCTGCACACACACTTTTCCTTACTGGATGTTTCACGTGGTTTAATATAATTAAAACACAGCTGCATTTATTGGTTTAACTCAAATCCTAATTTGATAATTGGAAAATATATGCATTAAGGATTCATTTTTATTCCAGATTAATTTAGAAGTAACCGAAAGCAGTGTCAGAATTGACCAGATTGATGATTTTAGGGTGCTTGGTTACTTCTATTGCATTGTTTTTGTGTGATTTCTTACACTTGTATTTGTCATCTTTTCCTGACTTAATTATGATTAAGTGCTGAACTTTACAGATGGCCAACTGCTGGTACTGCTGTATTGATCAGTTGGTTTTATTAATGTGTTAAATTTTGTGGTTGCCACAGGATCATACTTTGTGATAGAAGAGCTAATAGCTGGAGAACTCTGCCATGAAAGTCCCAATCAGCCCAACCTTAGCAGGTATTCAATTTTTTTTTCAATTTATTATTATTATTATTATCATCATCATTATTATTATTACCATAATTATTATTTATTAATTAACATTTAACTTCATTAAAGATACCTCTGGAATATTTTCATGCTAAAGGACAAACCTGTGTTCCTTTTTAACAGGTAGAAGTGAAAAAACAGAATTTGTAGAGAAAGAACACGGAAGTGATGCCTGGAAGCAAAAGTAGAACTGGATTGTTTTCTTGGGTTGTTTTTTTTTTTTTTTAATGAGGTCCTCAAAATCAAAATCTATACTTTCTGTGAAAACCTATTGTCATGGGGATTTTTTCAGAATTATAAATCAGTGGCAACTGTAATCTAATTCCTCAAGTCTAACTATTTGTTTCAAGTTTGCAAATGTGAAATAAGCTTGCTTTCATCATTTCAGGTGTCAGAAACAGTTCAAAATAAATTAAGATATTGATGAATATTTCTGTGTCTTAATATTTTTCTCGCATATTGCATGTCTAAAATTCAGACATTATTTTAAAGATAATTTTTTACATAGATGGCATTCAAAACAGCCTAAACGATCTTTATGATGTGGAATGGTTCTGAAAATTAGGAACAAATGTAAAATATATATAGATTTTGTCATCACACTTTTTAAATCATTGCTTGCTTCCTACACATTTCTGAGCCTGTTCTCTTCTTTTCTATGAACAGTGATATTTTCAGAAGTGTCATGGATAAAATTATTAATTTTGTGTCCAATTTACTGCTATTTGAAGTTATGTTTTCCACAATGTCCTGTGCAGACAGACTCTTTCTGTATAGCATAAAACTGAATTAAACTGTAACTGTAGAATTTCTGTCTTTTATCCAACAAATGTTGTTTTATACATCACATATATACATATAAGAAATTGGTAATTATTTTATATTCTGAAACTTAGAAGTGATGTTTCAAACAGGAATGCCAATATTATTTTTCTTGAGATGCAGCATGTTGCATGTAACCATAATTATTCATTCCTATGTAAATGTTTTTCCTCTACCAGTTTGTATATACAAAAACGAATGGGGAGTAGTTACAGAATAAACACTCCATAGGGCTGAAGTCTTCATAACTGTAGAAGCCTGGAAATTACATTATTAATATCCCATGCAATATTTTACCTTGTCATCTGTTTTCTGTTTCTCAGAGCTCTTTGGCATGGGGAAAGGAGCCCAACATGCTCACATCTCACTGATTTGAACAGCAGCTGAAAAACTAAGGAGAAAAATCATCCCACTCTGGCCATGGTCACAGCAATGGGAGTTCAGCCCAAGGCAGCTGTGCCCTGCAGCTGCCCCTGAAGGTCAGCAGAGAGAGGATACAACCACCACTCCCTGGGAGTGAAGGGCTCGTCACAGCCCCCAGCACCGCTGGGATGGCGTGAGTGGGATGCCAGCAGACATCTCTGTAGGGTGCTAAGCTCAACCAGCTGTCAGAAATGCCTTCCAAGCCCTTTGGTCAAACAATAGGGGTCTTAGGAGGTGTTAAAAGTATTGGCCAGCCTTTCTGGCCTAGGGCTGTGGAACAGCATCTCAGAGGAAAGTATTCCAGTCCTGGTTTTTGGACTCCAGGGAAATTAGAAAAAGAAGTTGTGACTCGGATTTAGTAGTTGGTTATGCTGTTTGCAGATGCAAAACTCCAGAGAAAGTACCACGAGCAAAGTGAAAACAAAGAGCTGTAAAGGCAAGGCCTTTCCATTCAAAGTTTTGTTCCAGGATGCCAAATGAAGGTATAACAACATAAAAATTACACAACTTGAATAATTTTTCTGCCTTTAGTTCCTGAAAATTCAAGTAGACACACCTCACCTAAATTCTGATACATATCTCCCCTTAACTTACATAAGACTGGTTTTGCAAAACAAGTTTAATTCCTGATTGCTGCTTGATGGTGCTATCTGTTGGTGCTTCTTCTCTTACTTTCTGGTACCCCTTTGTTTTTGTGTTGCTGCCCAGACTCCTCTTTTCCCATGTCACCAATCGTTTCAGTCCTTCTTTTAACACTGTATCATTTATTATTTCTTTCACAGTGCTTTATTTTCTTTCTTTCTGTTTTATTAGTGTTGAATCTCCAAGGTATCCAGCAGCTCTTAGGACAGATTGAATAGACAGAGCATAGTGGACTGGATGTCTGATACTTCATATTATTTGTAGCTGCCAATAGCTTTGAGCACATCAGTTTGTCATTCAATATTTTTCTTTTCCTCTCCTCATTTCTAGTAATGCAGATAGAGTTTTCCCCCTTTGGAGCAAAATGCCATGATGCTCACAAGAGCTATATAGAAACAAAATGGTGCTGGTAGAAGTAAAAGAGGAAAGCTTTCATCATCAGAGCAACATGGACCTAAAGGTATTGGAAACTAAAGGCCAATTACTCCCTGAGGTGCACGGGGTGGGGGGATGGCACTTTCAATGTAATCAGTCTTGTGATTGTGAAGGCAGAAGAGGACCTTGAGTGTCTGTATCTGGACTTTGTCAGGCCATTTGTTTGTGACCAGAGTTGTGTGGTTATTTTGGTTTTCAATAAAGGGATGTTCGCTGAGGCATCACGTTGATATTTTTGATGTTCCACATTTTCAAAGGAACAAATTTATCAGCATAGAATTGAAATGTCTAGCTGCTTCAGTATGCAGCTGAGATTCCACATCACTGATGTGCAAGGGCATTCATTTTTCACCTACTGGAGGTAATGGGAATGAGACTCCCACCTGGATTGCTGCATCCAGCCCTGGACAGGAAGGACAAGGACCTGATGGACCAAGGCCATTAAGAGGATCAGAGGGATGGAGCACCTCTCCTATAAGGAACAGCTGAGAGATTTCAGATTCTTCAGTTTTGAAAAGAGGAGTCTCCTGGGTGACCTAACTGCAACTTTCCAGTACCTGAAAGGGTCCACAAGACAGAAAGAGATTATTTTACAAGGTGTAAGAGGAGTGACAGGACAAAGGGGAATGGCCTTGAACTGACAAAGAGTAGGTTTAGGTAAGATATTAGGAGGGGTGATGAGGCCCTGGCACAAGTTATCCAGAGAAGCTGGGGATGCCCCATCCCTGGAAGTCTTCCTGGACAGGCTGGATGGGTCTCTGAGTGACCTGAAGTAGTGGAAGGTGGTCCTGTCCTCAAATGGGGGTTTGGAACTAGATGACCTTTGAGTCTTTTCCAATCCAAATCATTCTATGATTATATGATTTTCCACAATTGAAGGCATGTTTAAAAGGGGATTATTGGGCTTTGTTGTTTTTTGCAATAAATTTTGGGGAAAATCTTGTCAGGCTTTCATCTCTGAGTCCTGTACAAAGGCAAATACTTGCAGGTATTTTAAGCCTTTTGTCTTTCTGCAAAATATGGCCTTTAGCAATGATCTTTGGACCTTCCATTGAGTATGTTCACAAAATCTGAAGAGGGATCCTGTGCTGGCTGACACATGTCTTATGAGCCTGAAAGCTGAAGTGGCTCCTGCAGGACGGTGCAAGCTGATTCCTTGGGCACTAAATATCTGGTATCACTTGCTAAATATGCTACAGAAAGCAATGTCTGAAGCTGTGTAGTTACCCTGCACCATCAGTTCTTCTTCTGGGATCTATGGAAAATGGGTGAGTGAGCCCAGTCTGGCTCTTTGCTGACAGGCCAATTGGAATAATTGGTGTCTTTTTTTGCAGCATTTCTCAGAAAAAAAAAAAAGCAAGGCTGGAGCTGAAAGGAGGAAAAATCCCTTCATTGAGTGTTTTATGTCTAGGATCAAGACTTTTTGAAGGATTTAAGTCCCAAGTACAAATGAAATATCCAACCAACTATAATAGCTATCAGGAGATGGAGGAAAAAATGGAGAGGAGAGGGAAAGGGGAACACTTCCAGGGAAGGTGATGCTGTTTGGAAAAAATGTCTCTTACAGTTTGGCATCTAGCTGTTAACATGCTCTTGCCAACCTGTGAGTTCATTTGAGGTTTATAGCAAGTTACAGGAAGAATAAAAAGTTAATCATGTGCAGAGCCTTGGTGTTGTATTCTTGCCATCAATTTCAATAGCAGTAATAACATACAGACTGTGAAGTGATTAAAGAATGGCACAAGCTGCTTTCTACTTGAGTTTGCAAATGTATTTCCATTGAAAGTTTAATTTGTGTGGTTTTCATCCAAATTTGAAGAGATGATGATATGAGGTTTAAAAACACTATATATGGGTTGGGTCTGGGGTCAGATTATTTTATTAGTTTTAACCTGACATGGGGACTTTTCTCCCTTTACCTAAAAACACAGCAATATTTTATTTTATTTATTTCAAACCCACAAAAAGAAATAAAAGGAAAAGTGGGAAATCTTAGTGATGAAGATGGTTGCTCAACAGAAGATTTAGCTACATGTTGTAGCCTGTATCTTTTTAACAAATCCCAAAAGTTCTTATTAAATATTTTGGGGATTTGAAGCTGAGGAAATCTATTGAAATACTGTCTGGGCCTGGATTAGCACTTCAGACTAAAGAATAATTTTATTTTGGTTTTAAGATTTTTTTCTGTTTTTTCTTCCTTTTCAATTTGTAACTGTGAACTTTATCATCAGCGGAGATAAAAGTTCTTAATGCATCGAAAATTATCGTTGACACTTACAATGAAGAAATAAGCTTCTCAAAAATAAACCATGTACTAGGAGGTGTTTTCAGTGGATTAAACCTTTTCCTTTTTGTTTCTGAAATACTTTTGGGTGGTAATCACTTCCCTGAAAATCTGCACTTTTTTTGTTGTATATGGCTTCAAACTGGACAGAGGATTTTTTGTTCTTTGCTCTCACACTACACAAATGGAGTGGCAAATTTTATTCATGGCATATATGTGCTTTTAGCTGCATTAATATCTTTATTAGCATATTAACATGCACTTGAGTTATCCTGATACATTGCAAACAGACTGGATCTGAGGTATATAACAGCAGATAAATATTTATTATTTTATTTAAAGAACTTAAAATTCAGCAGAACTTGCTGTAGGTGAGTGATTCTACTTATTAGAGATGAATTTTAACAACTGTAGTTCACAAATTTCTGCTGTCCTTTGGGGAAAACAAGGAAATTGATTGTAGCAAAAAGTGTTGTATTTGCATTCCTTTACTTCTTGTCATTTTTTCTTTGTTTGATGTATCAGTTTCTTGTACAATGCTTTCTCCCCTTGTTTACCCAAGTTACTAATTTATGGTCTATTGATGCAGAGCAGTTCTTTAAGCTTAGAGTTAGTACTTGGCTGTCAGTAAGAAAGATGAGAAGCAAAAGTGTGAAGGCTTTTCCCAGGGTAAATCGAGACTTACGTCTCTAAGTGGAAGCCACGTCCCTAAGTGGAAAATTTAGGCAGGTGTTAAAAGTTGGATTGCAGAAAAATAGGACAAGGCTATCACTTTTTCTTGGGAGATAATATAATTAGATTTATGTGTTTAAAATAGTTATTAAGACTGGTTTATATTCAACTACTTGGATTTGCTCAACAATTTTGCTACATAAAACAGTGAGGCTTTGCGATTTATTTGGATTTTGTCTTGCCAACTGGCCTGCCTCCTTCCCTTCCCTCTTGCTCCTCTTGCTTCATTTGCAGTGTTATGCTAGATATTGGATAAGTTTTCCACTTACCCTAATTGGAAGGGTTTTCTCAAAATGCTAGTTCTTTGGCTTTTAACCTTGTGTTATTTGTTCAGTAATGGTTGAAACCTGGTTTCGTTTCATTGTTGGTTTTTTGTTTGTTTTGGTATTTTTTAATGAGAGTGTAAAATTTGTTCAACAGTGCTAATGTCTGGTCTAACCTAAGTTTACTAAGATTCCTGGACACATCTAATGTTGTTTGTGTGTATGTACCCTACTTATCTGCCTGGAGTTTAAACCAGCCTTGCTACAGTACTGATTTGCACTAGAAATATGTTACCTGTAGGCACCAGCATGCTAAGGTTCTAGAAAGAGTTGGCTGATAATTTGAATTTCAACAGAAAAGACAAGGGAGAAAGAACATTAAAACTTTGTGGAACAGCTTCTCATCTTCAGTATTGTTACTTAAAAATTTAAAACTTGATGCTTCTTTCCACTCCCCCAAGAAAATTCTGTACTTCAAGAAGGGCCTGAAGTCTTAGTAGGAGCTTAGTAAGAATTTAGGATGTCAACATCTTTCTTGATGAAGGTTTATCTCATTAAGTTTTGCCTTGTTCTTTAAAATGAGGAGAAAGTTTCTCTCTAGGTCTGTGATCTACATGTGCACTGATTTTACATTCATCTAAACTACAATGCTCTGCCTGTGAATTGGTTCTTTGATGCCAGTGTGGTTATGTTCCTGTCCTGAAAGGAAGG